CGACCATATTGCCGAGCCAGAATTGCTACAGGACGGCAATTTTTTGCCGACCTAGGCCTAGATTTCTTTGCTTCAAAAACTGCTTGGAAAGTCAAAAACTTTGACTGAAACAGGCTATAGCAGACGCTAAATTTCATGTACGCCGTAAAACCAAGGAAATTGGTGGTTCATAAAACAGATTTGTTTGTACAAGAACTATTTATAATAGGCATGTAGTACTTACGATTTGTGTACAATCGTCGTGTTTCTCACCTAGTCGTTTCGTAGGCTAGGCCTAGGTAGGAATGACGCTAACCAGCCAAGGACTACAACATCGCCCAATTAAAGCCATGTGGGCCGCGTAGATCGTATGCTTATCTTAATCTATTATTTGTCTTCATTTTACAGTATTATCATATTTAAAATGTTGTTTATTTTCTAAAAACAACAAAATTCAACATATTGTAGGCCTAATCGTACCGTTCGTTTAAACGCAATCACGATCGCATCGTGACTTCACTACTGACAAATACAGTACTGTACATGTGTGGAAAATCCCTGATAGATCATTTTGGGCATGTGCATGGACATGCATGGGCAGTTTTAAAGCAGCCTGTGATGATAAAATCGTAGCTTTTACGAAAGTGATATTTCCCATGTCAAAGATAACAATAAAACGAAAGCTAAAACAAATTTTATTCAGCGATTCTCTTATGTAAAACATATGTATTATACTACACTATTAAATTAATACAAGTACGACCATCCTTTCACCAGCAATATATTGATTTAATAGAGAAATTAACAAAATCGCAATCTGTAGATGACGATGTAAGGTCGAGCGTTCGGAAAAATCGTAGTTTATACTATAAAGGCCTAGGTAGTAAAATTTTGCCGACCTAATTTTTTCCTAATTTCGTGAACTGCAGTGTTATATTTTAACTTTTTAATTTTGTTGCCTGAGCGGGGTGGGTTTGGGATGGGGTGTCCCCCTCTCTACCTAAGAAAAAAATGAAAAATAATAACTGTAAGATGCCATTTAAAAGTGTTGAATTTTATGTTTTGAATTGTGTTGCAATGTTTGATTTTAGAATGTGTTAAACACTATTTTAAAGTAAAACTCCAACAGTCAAACACTTCCTTGGTTAATTTTATTTTCAATAACAATAAATATATGGATAGCACATCATACAATGTTTGTACCTGTATGTATTTTGTTTTACAGTGTTTCTTTTTATACTATTTACATTCAATTGCAGTTTAGGAATCTGATTCCATCTACTAACTAGTTTTCTTACTTTTATCTACATAACAGCTAGTACTGTGCCTTTTCTTCATGCAGGATAATTACCTTTGCAAATATACAAAAAATAAATAAATTATTCAAAGATTCAAAGTAGTTTATTCAGTATATAAAGGCCATTGGCCCAAAAATACATAAATTCACTGCATATTATATATTTTTTCTTTTCTTATCTTATATGCTAATTGTATATAATGAATTAATTTAAACAAAAGTGATTGTTACTTTGTTGACATTAGTTTCTTAAACTTAAAATCATTAGGATGTGATAAATAATAATTAGGTATTAAACGGTTTTTTTAATTTTTATATAGTGGACAAATTAAAATAAAATGAAATTCGTCTTCAACCTTTGTTAAATTGCATAATTTGCAGATTCGTTCTTCTTTTTGTGTGTTTGACCATCTTCCTTTTTCAATTTCAAGGTCAAGAATTCCTAGTCTTAGTCTAGAAAACAGGCTTCTCTTTTTAAAATCAAGAACTAACGATAGATAATTCTCACAATATATGTTAGTTTTAAAAGAAGAAAAATATTTAAGTCTTGAGGAAGAATTTATGTTTTCAATGATAATTTGACGTTCTATGTCTTTCAAGCGTAACTGAAGATTGTAAATAAATGATGTTTTATTAAGGACATTTTGAGAGCGCCAAACATTACCAAAGCCAATTGAATTAAAAATATTTTTAACAGAATGTGTCCAACAAATTTCATTTCTTTCCATTTGTCTTAATTGAAAAGAATAACATTGTGCTAATATACTGTTCGGATCAATTTCATTAATTAAACGTAACCAAAACTTTATAGCATTAATAGAACATGATAAGCTTAAAGGAAATCTTCCAACTTGGCCATAATAGCATGTTTTGGAGCAGTTTTCCTAACCCCAAGTATATATCTGATAAATAACAGGTGTGTTTGCTCAATAATATCAATATTATTAAATATTCCCCAGATTTCACTTCCATACAATAGGTATAGGTAGAATTTTAGTATCAAAAATTCTGTTTAAAATATTAATTGGGAGTGTTCCATATCTATGTAAAATTGGTTTCAAAGAAAACAATGCCTTTTTTGCTTGTATGCTGTTGTTTTCCATAGCTTTATTCCATGACCCAGATGAGCTAAACATGACTCCTAAATATTTGAATGTATGGACTGTTTCGACTTTAGTATTTTTATAAAACCATTTTCTGATTTTTTTTCAAAATTCCTCCTCTTTTAAAAACTAAGGATTTTGTTTTATTAATATTTACTAATAGGCCCGAATTATCACAAAATAAGCAAGTTTGTTTAGGAGACATTGTAAACCAATAACTCAATCACTGATAAGTACAAGGTCATCGGCGTATAATAAATGGTTTAAATAAATATTACCAATTTGGATTTTTTGAAAATTATCACAACCGTTTAATGACTTACTTAAATGATTAATAAACAAATTAAATAAGAATGAGGACAGAGGAGATCCTTGCTGTAAGCCAATTTTCACATTTAAAAGACTGAGTTAATTTATTTTTTAATTTAACATATGCAATTAATTTTGAATACATAGAATTTAAAGTATTAAACATTTCCCCATGAACACCCGCACATTTAAGTCTGAACATAAGTAGTTGATGATTAATAGAATCGAATGCGCATTTAAAGTCGACAAAAGCAACAAAAAGTCTACCCCTTTTTCTATTAAGATACTTTGAAATAATTGTTTGTAAAATAAAAATGTTATCCGACGTTCTTGTCCCTTTGCAAAATCCTACCTGTTCCTCGTTTATTAAATTAATATCATTAGCCCAATCTGTAAGTCTGTAGTTTAAAATTGAAAGAAAAATTTTACATAAAACGGGTATGAGGGAGATACCTCTATAATTTTCTGGTCTTGTCTGGCTACCTTTTTTGTGTATTGGGACTATCAGACTAGTAGCCCATTGCTGTGGAAATTTTCCTGTTTTAAAAATTAAATTAAACAAATTAGTTATTTTTATATAGACATCTTGTGGTGATTTGATAAAGAATTCAGCTCCTATACCGTCGATACCAGAGGATTTTCCTGTTTTTTAAAATTTTTAATTACACTTGGAACT